AGTCACTTTTCAATAGGATATGATGTTATTACTATATATTTCCAATAATTAGTTTAAAAACACCATACATACTCAAAAATATTTTTCAGAAGAGTCTAAAATGCATAGGTGGCAACCTAAAGTTCATTTCAATTTTCCATCAGCAATAAAAATCCATTTATATATATGACAATTTAAAATTTAAAATTTTGGTATAAATCCAGGTGAGGACACTAATAAACCAATTAAAATAGATTTAATCAATATTTCAAAAAAACACATTTAAGCATTAAGATGGACCTAGTCACCTAACCACACTTCACTTATTTATGCCTTGTCCATTTAGGCTAGTAAAAGTTTGAAGTTTAGCCTTGGCATGCAGACACACTTGATGCCTTTTCGAACATTGATTCAATATATAAAGTAAGTTTAGGATATCTAATTACTTACCATTGAAATGGTTGCTACTCAAATCTAATAATACAAGTTCAGATATCTTTCCAATTTCATTTGAAATATTTCCCGTCAATACAAACAAGTAGAACTTAAAATATCTAATGTTAGATTAACACAAAATATATCTAATTAAATAGAAGAAGAACCGAATAATTTTATTTCAATGATTAAATATACAGAAGTTATTTTTGAGCAATTTACTTCTAATTACTATTATGAAAATACCGTACATGCTGAAAAACATTTGTCAAAAAAGTGTAAAATATCTAGGTGGTAACCTATTTAGATTTTCCATCAGCATAAATAATTTATATATATGACCATTTAAATTTAGAGTTTTGGTTACATTTAATCCATAAAATAAGTTTAGGAGATCTAGTTACATACCACTAAAGGAGTTGTCACCAAGTTCCAACCGTGTAAGCTTAGGGAAATTTGAAATAGATGTAGGAATTTTTCCACTCAGCTGGTTGCGACAAAGATAGAGACCTTTTAGATTAGGGAGCCCATTGGCTATTGATGATGGAAGAATTCCTGAGATACTATTGTTATTAGAATCGAGCATTTGCAACATGGAGAGACTGAAGATGGATTCTGGTATTTGACCCTCAATACTGTTATTAGCAATACTCAATTCCTTCAAAGTTGATAAACTGCCAATTGAATGTGGAATTTTACCTGTATTGTAGAGTACTCTCGAGTTTGCCAATGCATTCAAATTAACGAATACAAAAAAGTACTAATAAGTACATAAATAGATACCTGTTAAGATATTTGAACCCAAATATAAATATTGAAGTGCTGATGTGTTTCCAATTTCATTTGGAATGCTTCTTGTGAATACATTTTTGGATATTAAAAATTGAAATCCAAAAGCCAAATATTTAAAATTTCAAAAAGTTATTATCAAATAATAATACTAGAATTAGTTAATTTTATTGAAAATATAAATGTTTTAAATCCTGTATTTTTGTTTCTAAATTTTATTATTGAAGTAAGAATGATTATAGAATGACAAATGAATGATGTATCACTTAATTTAGAAGATTAAATGATTAAATAAACAATAATGCGGTGCAAAAGGAAACGCAGAATGAACCTAAAAATATGTCTATTCATACAATGCTTGTGAATTTATTCGTTGATTTGCAATTGTATATTGAATAGTTGGTTTAGATGGAAAAATCATTAATTCTGCCTAATACCAATTTAGGCGGAAATTGTTGAAGAAAAACTCTTACTACTTTATAATTTTCTAATCAAAGTATTCCAGTGTACAAAGCTCATCTTTGCAGCTAACAAAGAAACCCCTAATCATTAATCGTAACTAAAATTGCGTCCAGGGTCCTCTATTCCAATTAATAATGAAATAAAAAAAATATTGACTAATTATTGTAATGAGGCTGTAGCCGCTAGCAGTATCTACCTTCATCCCATGCTGATTGGGTACTTAGGATTTGATGTTATTATGATGCATTTAATTATTTGGAAAATGCTATACATGTTTAAACATATTTGTCAAAGCTAATTTTATTCATTCTGCCGTCAAGCCATATTGAATATTGTATCATTTTGTATGTCTAAAAGGGTGTGATGACAACTTCAATTCTTTAGGTAGGAATTAAAGATGGGTTTGTTGGTCAATGTTTCTACATGCTCTTGCATGAATAATTTATAGGCCAAAATAGGTTCTCAGTTTCAAAATGCGCAATTGAGGTTTCGTGGGGTAAGTATTAAAGGCGGATCCAGGATTGAATTTAAGGAGGGGCTAAAGAAATTTCAAGCCAACCTAATACGCGTAACAAAAAATAAAAAATAAAAAAATTTACACATTGAAAATCTGTTTTTAAAAAAAAAAAAAAAAAGAGGAAAATTACCCTTACAAAAATAATTGGCCCACGTGGGGTGGGGTGGGGACTACAACCAGTCCCCCACAACCCCCTAAATCCGTCAGTACATACATAATTTTTAATCTTGCTGACAATCAATTGAGCGGAGAAATTCCTACCTATGTTTCAAATTATTCTAAGCTTACTGTCTTGGATCTTTATAACAACTCCTTCAGTGGACGAGTACCCATGAATCTTGGGAATTTACAAAACCTACAAAAACTAAAATTGGATGATAATGAGTTGACAAATGATCCGTCAATGATCAAATTGGATTTTCTTATTTCATTAAGCGTAACTGAAATTGCATCCTAGGTCCTCAAACTAACAAATAGAAAAAACTAATAATGAAAATATTTTAAAGTATTGACTAAATATTATGATTCGGGTAGCCTCTAATGGTATCCATCTTCATCCTAAGCTGATTGGGTACGTAGGTGTTAGGATTTTATTGTATTAGCAATTCTTTAGATAAAAGAATTGAAGTAAAAAACTGTAAAAGTCAAGGAGTAAGTTGCAATATTGTATAGATTTAGATAAGTTAGGGTTCAAGTTTGGAACAATGAAGAAAAAGTTGCCGGATTTATGCTAGCCTATCGCCCATCTCATGCTCTAGCGGCAACAACAAAAACTCTATTGCCCACCTGTCACCCAAATATCGCTCGAGCGACAAACCGTTACTCGCTAGTCATTGAGATCTAGCTCGAGCAACAGTGTTAAATGCAAAACCCTAGTTCGCGTTTTTCAAAAGTTTTATTAGGCCTATACGTAATTACCTTCTACTATATATACCAAACCCTAAACATGAATTTGGTAATTGTTCATTATATTCCTTCCACATATAATCATTCAAAAATTCAAGAACATATTCAACCCTTTGATTCTTCTATTGATTCTTGAGTTCTTACAACCACGAATTTGGAAAAAACATCAAGCTTTCATAATCCGAAACACCCACTTTCTATACACATACATAAAGGTACTTTCTCAAGATTTTTCATCGGCCAGTGAGAAATTGAGGGAGGTTGGACTAGAAGCACGGGAAGAGCACAAGAACGAGGTGTTCTTGGTAATCCACACAAGATAGATAATTCCAAAAGATCGGGAACAAGTGTGAGTGAAGTACGTTTCAACGGGTCTTGGAAATTACAAAATGTTAATCAGCAAGTCTAGTGAAATCTTCTAGGCTGGATTGTACTATAAGCTCATCATTATCTATAGTGGAGCTTACTAGCTTGGTCCTAAAGTTTTTACCTAGTTGGATTTCTCCGTCAACAATTATTGTGTTCTATATTTTGTTAATTACTGATTGGTGTGTTCAAACTTAGAATAATTGGACTTGATTTACTAATTATCTAGAAACAATTAAAAAATCACTTGTTGCTTATAATTAATAATTTTAATTTCCAAGTATTCACCTATTCACCCCATCTAGGTGATATCAAGGTCGAACTAGTAACTTTTCAATAGGATATGATGTTATTACAATGTATTTCTAATAATTAGTTTAAAAACACCATACATGCCCAAAAATATTTTTCAAATGAGTGTAAAATGCATAGGTGGCAACCTAAAGTTCATTTCAATTTTCCATCAGCAATAAAAATATTTTTATATATATGACAATTTAAAATTTAAAATTTAAAATTTTGGTATAAATCCAAGTGAGGACACTAATAAACCAATTAAAATAGATTTAATCAGTATTTCAAAAAAAAAAAAAAAAACACATTTAAGCATGAAGATGGATCTAGTCACCTAACCACACTTCACTTATTTATGCCTGGTCCATTTAGGCTAGTAAAAGTTTGAAGTTTAGCCTTGGCATGCAGACACACTTGATGCCTTTTCGAATATTGATTCAATATATAAAGTAAGTTTAGGATATCTAATTACTTACCATGGAAATGGTTGCTCCTCAAATCTAATAATACAAGTTTAGATAGCTTTCCAATTTCATTTGAAACATTTCCCGTCAATACAAACAAGTAGAACTTAAAATATCTAATGTCAGATTAACACAAAATATATCTAATTAAATAGAAGTAGAACCGAATAATTTTATTTCAATGATTAAATATACAGGACGTTATTTTTAAGCGATTTACTTCTAATTATTATTATGAAAATACCGTACATGCTGAAAAACATTTGTCAAAAAAGTGTACAATATCTAGGTGGTAACCTATTTAGATTTTCCATCAGCATAAAAGTTCTTATATATGACCGTTTAAATTTAGAGTTTTGGTTACATTTAATCCATAAAATAAGTCTAGGAGATCTAGTTACATACCACTAAAGGAGTTGTCACTAAGTTCCAACCGTGTAAGCTTTGGGAAATTTGAAATAGATGTAGGAATTTTTCCACTCAGCTGGTTGCAACAAAGATATAGACCTTTTAGATTAGAGAGCCCACTGGCTCTTGATGATGGAAGATTTCCTGAGATACTATTGTTATTAGAATCGAGCATTTGTAACATGGAGAGATTGAAGATGGATTCTGGTATTTGACCCTCAATATTGTTATTAGCAATACTCAATTCCTTCAAATTTGATAGACTGCCAATTGAATGTGGAATTTTACCTGTATTGTAGAGTACTCTCGAGTTTGTCAATGCATTCAAATTAATGAATACAAAAAGTACTAATAAGTACATAAATAGATACCTGTTAAGATATTATGTACATGCTGATTGGGTATTTATGATTTGATGTTATTATGATGCATTTAATTATTTGGAAAATGCTATACATGTTTAAACATATTTGTCAAAGCTAATTTTATTCATTTTTTCGTCAAGCCATATTGATTATTGTATCATTTTTTATGTCTAAAAGGGTGTGATGACAACTTCAATTCTTTAGGTAGGAATTAAAGACGGGTTTGTTGGTCAATGTTTCTACATGCTTTTGCATGAATAATTTGTAGGCCAAAATAGGTTCCCAGATCCAAAATGCAAAATTGAGGTTTCGTGGGTAAGTACATACATAATTTTTATTGTAGCTATGTAAAAGGACGTATTAAATAGGCAACTGTATGCAAGTCCAATTAAGCTATTTGTACATTAACTTTGACATTCTTGTTGACAGATGGATGATGTGACAAGATTGAGATGGTTGAATTAAGTGTGTAAGATGTGAGATTGTGCCATATGTAAATTCGATAAGTCAAGGTGTAAATTGTAATGTACGTGTATCAAAATTGATACATGTCACTATGAATGTATGAAATATCTATGATGTGAATGATTAACAATATTTTTCAATTTAACAATTTTTTGGAAGACATTATGTTTTGGGAGATTTATGTATATGAAAACCACTTTAAACATACCTATCAAATTATTTCCTTCTAGATAGAGAGATTGAAGCTTTGACAAATTTCCGATTTCCATTGGAATGCTTCCAGAAAAATTATTGTACGCTAGAGAAAGAAGTTGAAGCTCCCTGCATGTTCCCAAGCTTGGAGGAATGTTACCACTTATGTGATCACAAGAAATTCTTAGCCTCTCCATATTTGGAAGATTATTGCAGATATTTGTGGGAAGACTTCCTGAGAGACTATTGTTTTTTAAATCAATTGCCATAAAAAAAGAGAGGTTGAAAATCCTATTAGGAACTTCTCCATAGAGTCGGTTATGGGAGAGATTTATCTTCTGTAGATTTTCAAGAAATCCGAAACTTGTTGGAATCGGACCGTTCAGCTCATTGTCCTGCATCTCTATTTCTCTAAGCTGGCTTAAATTACCAATTTCGTCAGGGATAGATCCAAGGAAATTATTGTTGCTAATAATCAAGGATCTCAAAAAAGAAAGTTCACCGATTTCGTTAGCATTAGTACCTCCTACACCCATATCTGCTAGATTCAACTCCCTAACTCTTTGATGTCTACTCCCACAAGTAATGCCTACCCAATTACAGATTGGGCTTCCTTGTGACCAATTTTTAGCCAAGATATCATTTGGATCGGAAGTTATTTGAGATTTGAAGGCTAAAAGAGCATACTGTTGGATAATTTAATGCTTTAAATTACTGGATCTTTCATGTTAAATCATCGAGAAATACAAGAATTAAAGCGGAAGCATACATGAATCAGACATGGTTAATGCAATATGAATTTCATATGGTTAATGCAATATGAATTTCATGGTATGATCTTCCAAATCTACACGCAGTCTCCTTTTACTCTCTGTGATGGGATGCAGTAGAGAATGAATAATAAGTTGCGTGTGATCTGGGGACCATAACCTATTTATATAGGGATGCCCTTTGACCTAATTCGACCCATCATAGAATTAGGACTTGAGCCCGGTCTCTACACATATGTAAATCCATACTTTAATTGGATACATTAAAACCCAAAACCGAAACCTTATTAGATCACTTTAATTGAGCTCAACCGAATTCGATAGTCTATAATTTAACACACAATTATTCACACATACAAGCCAATCTTTAATTAAAAAAAATCCTTACAATCTCCCACTTGGGCTATATGTGTTACCTTATAATTGTGTATTAAACATAACCTTATGAGTACTCAGAATTTTGCTATCATTACCGAATGTATCCCCAAACAATCCCGTCCATCAATGATATCAACATAGGATCAAAGCGGCTTTCGCTACTTTCACGTAGCTAAACCCATCAATGGTCACGTATATCAATATAACCGAATGACATGGATCAAGCATGGATGTGTAGCGTGGAAATTACATGTAATGTGATCTATAACATGCCTATTTCCAACTGGTCCACCTTAATACCTTAGTGAGATCATTTTAAACAAGTTCAGAGATAATTAACCAAATAACTTTATAACTGAAAATAACTTTAATTTTAAACCGTATCCAAAATAACAGTACATGTGTCCAATATGAAAAGCAAAAATACAAACTCCCACTGAAACTAGATATTCTCAAGAGACATTACACCCATATGAGCAATGTACTCATGAAAGACCTTGGGTATCAATCCCTTAGTAAGCGGATCCGCAACCATGGAATTTGTCCCAATATGCTCTATTGATACCTGTCCACTCTGAACTCTTTCTTTAACAGCAAGGAACTTGATCTCTATGTGTTTTGACTTCGTCGAGCTCCTGTTGTTATTAGAATACAACACTGCTGATTTATTGTCACAAAATATCTTAACTGGTCTTTCTATATTGTCCACAATACGCAGCCCAGTGACAAAATTACCCAGCCATATTTCATGATTTGATGCCTCATAACACGCTATAAACTCCGCTGCCATGGTAGAAGTAGATATGAGTGTCTGCTTAGCACTCTTCTAGGAAATAGCATCTCCTGCAAGCAGATAAATATAGCCTGAAGTGGATCTCCTACTATCTTGGCATCCCGCGAAATTAGAATATGATCTCCAACTGATCCGATCTCCTGTATGTGAGCATGTAGTCTTTTGTTCTCTGTAAATACCGCATGACTCGTTTGGCTGCTTTCCAATGATCCATTCCCGGGTTACTTAAATATCTCCCTAGCATCCTAACGATATACGCTATATCCGGACTCGTACAAATCTGAGCATACATCAGACTCCCTATAGCTGAGGAATAAGGAATCTTCTGCATTTCTTTAATTTCCAAGTCATTTTTAGGGCACTGACTTAAGCTGAACTTGTCACCTTTAGCCACAGGGGAATCACATGGTTTACAATCTTGCATGCCATATCTTTTAAGTACCTTTTCAATATAGCTCTTTTGTGACAATCCAATAATACCTCGAGAACGATCTCGGTGTATCTGAATTCCTAATACAAAAGAGGCATCACCAAGATCTTTCATCTCAAAATTCTTTGCTAGAAATCTCTTGGTTTCATGCAATAAGCCTATATCATTGCTGGCAAGCAATATGTCATCGACATATAAAACTAGAAAAATATACTTGCTCCCACTGAACTTGTGGTATATACAATCATCGACCAAATTCATCTCAAAACCAAATGAGATGATCACCTGAAGAAACTTGTAATACCATTGACGAGACGCCTGTTTGAGTCCATAGATGGACTTCTTTAATTTACAAACCATTTGTTTTGCATCGTCCGATACAAAGTTTTCTAGTTGTACCATATAAATTGTTTCATCAATGTCACCATTGAGAAACACTGTCTAAACATCCATCTGATGTAGCTCAAGATCAAAATGCTCTACCAATGCCATTATAGCCCTGAAAGAGTCTTTCGAAGAAACCGGAGAGAAAGTCTCTTTATAATCGATGCCTTCTCTCTGTGTAAAGCCCTTTGCGACAAGACGAGCCTTATACCTCTCTACATCACCTTTCGAATCCCTCTTGGTCTTAAATATCCATTTGCAACCAATGGGTTTCGCACCTTCAGGCAATGGAACAAGGTCCCATACGTCATTGTCCTTCATGGACTTTATCTCTTCATTCATAGGATCGAGCCACTTTTGAGAGTTAGAACTTTCCATGGCTTGACGGAAGTTGATCGGATCATCTTCCACCATTCCAATGTCAACTTCATGTTCTTGAAGAAATACGATGTAATCATTCGAAACCGCACTTTTCCTTTCTCTAGTGGATCTTCTTAATGGCATTGGTTCTTTAGGGTGTAGAGTTTGTTCTTCTAGAACAATTTGTTCATCTTGAGAGGGAGGCATGACATTGTCTTGATCCAGAGTTGCTTCTTGAACAATATCAGGGATAGAAACCTCATCATTGTCAATGGCAATTGGAGGAATTTCAACATATTCCTCCTCAAAGACAAAGCCTTTAACCCTTTCTCCCCCCGCAAACTCAACATCCTCAAAGAACCTTGCATTTCCTGTCTCGAAAATTGCCTTAGTTGTGGGATCATAAAACTTGTAACCCTTGGACCTTTCAGAATATCCAATGAAATAGCAACTGATGGTCCTTGCGTCCAGTTTCTTTTCATTTGGCTTATAGGGCCTTGCCTCAGCTGGACACCCCCAAATATGTATATGCTTCAAACTAGGCTTCTTGCCCGTCCAAAGCTCATATGGGGTTTTATCAGTGGCCTTAGTTGGAACTCTGTTGAGTATATAAGCTGCAGTCTTTAATGCTTCACCCCAGAGAGATTCTGGTAAGGTAGAATGACTAATCATACTCCTCACCATGTCCTTAAGCGTTCTGTTTCGTCTTTCAGTAACACCATTCATAGTGGGCGAACCCGGCATAGTGTACTGTGGGACGATACCGCATTCCTCTAGGAATTTAGCAAACAGTCCTGGATGCTGTTCACCTGAACCGTCATATTTGCCGTAGTATTCACTCCCACGGTCAGATCTGACGCTTTTAATCCTTTTGCCTAGTTGGTTCTCAACTTCAACTTTATAGTTTTTGAACACATCCAGTGACTGTGATTTTTCATGAATGAGATATATGTAGCCATATCTTGAAAAGTCATCTATGAACGTTATAAAATATCGTTGACCATTCCAAGAACCCGTGGGGAATGGTCCACAAATATCCGTATGTATAAGTTCTAAGATGTTCGAAGTCCTATTGGCTTGAAATATCCTTTTATTGGTTTGTTTTCCCTTTATACAGTTGACACACAAATCATAATCTGTGAAGTCAAGAGGGTCGAGAATCCCGTCAGACACAAGTCTCTCAATTCTCCTTTTGGAGATGTGACCTAATCTCTTGTGCCACAACGAGGCAGAATTCTCGTCGTTTAATTTTCGCTTTACACCTCGAGTACTTACATGCAAGGTTTCATTATAAGAAGCAATTGTATCAATAGAATAAAGATTATCGTAACCTGATAAAGAACCGGAACCAACCAATTTTGAATCATGAAACAAACTAAAATTTTCATTTCCAAAAGAACAAGTATAACCAAATTTGTCCAAAACAGAAATAGAAATCAAATTCCTTCTAAAAGGCGATACAATAAATGTCTCAACAAGATCCAAATAAAATCTAGTCTTTAACAATAATCTAAATTTTCCTATTGCCTCTACTTCCATTCTATTGCCGTCGCCAGCATAGATATATCTTTCACCATCACTTGGTTTTCAGCAACTCAGGCAACCCTGCATAGACATACTGATGTGAGTTGTTGCACCAGAATCTATCCACCATGTATGTCTAGGTACCGAAGTTAAATTAACCTCAGAACAAACTAAATGAAGAAGAGTACTTTTCTTTACACGCCATGCGTGGTAATTGATGCAATTCTTCTTCTTATGACCTGCAGCTCCACAGAAGAAACAACCGCCTTCAGTTGGTTCCTTATGCTGTTTCTTTTGCGGTGCCGTACCTGCAGCTTCTTTATTAATCTTCCTTTTCTTGTTGCTTTTGTCCTTAGAGGTGGTGGCTAAATGAGCAATTTCTATCTTTTCATGCTTCAGTCTTTCCTCTTCCTGGACACAGTGTGAGATGAGCTCATTAAGGGACCATGAGTCCTTTTGACAGTTATAGCTCACCTTGAATTGACTGAAATGTGTCGGAAGGGATATCAGAACCAAATGCACTAACAAGTCTTCAGATAAATCCAACTTGAGTGCCTTTAGTTTTGAAGCAATGTGAGACATTTCCATAATGTACTCCCGAATGTTTCCTTTCCCTTTATACCTCATTGAGACAAGATTTGCCGAAAGTGTACTTGTTTCAGCCTTTTTTCATTCTTGGCAAACCTTTTCTCAAGGTCCTCAAGGAAACCCTTAGCCGTAGTCACTTTATCGGACATAGTGCCCCGGAATGTTTCTGGAATAGCACGCTTCATGACCATTAAGCTTATGCGGTTCGATCGTTCCCACTTTTCCATCTCCCTCTTGTCATCAGAGGTACTCTTATCAATAAGTGCAGCAGGTTGATCGACCCGTAAAGCAAGGTCTAGGTCCATGACTCCGAGAACAATCATAACGTTCTCTTGCCATGCCCTAAAGTTTGTGCCATTAAACATTGCAATTGAATTGATGCTAGCAGAGATATTAGCAGCAGAACGTAAAACTGAATTAGAGAACATTTATTATGAATAGCTCACATGAATATCTTTAATATGCAAATAATAATAATAATAATCTCAAATAGTGGTAGGGCCCATCACAAGATACCAAGCACAACGTCAATATCCAGTCTTTGGACAGAGATATTGACTTGTAAGCGGTACTCTTGGCGTAATGATCAAACATTGACGATAAAACAACGTGTCAATCAATAAACCTTTCTTTGGACCGATTTATTGATCACACATTAAACCAAATAATCATCACACGTTTATCACCACAGGTGTACGTGTATTCGGCTAAATATTGACCTTCCTTTGGGCTGACCAATATTCCCATGAATAACATGTACACAAACACTTTTTAACATTCTAAGTTAGTCAATTTTCACAAGAGATGTTGCTTTGGCAACATGTTGCTTCAATTAACTAACTTTCGAATATTATATCTCTTTAAAAGAGTCTTTAATACCAAAATTTGAGAAAGAGAATCACCAGTTTTGCATATTTTGATTAGTTTTAAACTTTAGGGGCCTTAGGATTAACAATTCAAAACTTTAAGGGGCCAAAATTAATTAATTCCAAACTTTTGAAATTAATAAACTTGAAACTTTATGGACCATAATTAAATAATTCAATACTTTAGAGGATCAATTAAAACAAATTTTAAAACTTTATGGGCTAAAATTGATCAATTCAAAACTTTAGGGATCAAATTTTAAAAATTTGAAACTTTAGGGGTCAATTTGAATTAATTATGAACTTAGGGGGCCAATTTGAACTAGTAATTAAAGTTTGAGGGCTTTAATTATAAATTCAGAACTTTAATGGCCCGAATTAATTAATTTTAAAACTTTAGGGACTGAATTATTAAATCCGAAACTTAAAGGCCCAAAACTAAATATAACTTAAAGGTTAGGACTGAAACCTTAATTTTATAACCCTAACCCTAATTGCAACCAGGGGCCTCAAATCATCTAATTTACAGAAGAGGCCCCCGCCCCCAAAAATAAAAATAAAAACTGAAAAACCTAAATTTTTTTTCTTTTAATCCGAACGAAAATAACAAGAATTATACCGCAAAAATTTTCAAATTTAACAAAATATATAACCAAAAATTGTTAAATCTGAAAATTTCAAAATATATTGCAAAAACCAAACTAAAACCTTTGATTCTCAACGATTCAACATGAAAAAGCTCTGATATCACTTGTTGGATAATTTAATGCTTTAAATTACTGGATCTTTCATGTTAGATCATCGTGAAATACTAGAATTAAAGCGGAAGCATACCTGAATCAGACATGGTTAATGTAATATGAATTTCACGGTATGATCTTCCAAATCTACATGCAGTCTCCTTTTACTCTCTGTGATGGGATGCAGTAGAAAATGAATAATAAATTGCGTGTGATCTGGGGACCATAACCTATTTATAAAGGGATGCCCTTTGACCTAATTCGGCCCATCATAGAATTAGGACTTGGGCCCGGTCTCTACACATATGTAAATCCATACTTTAATTGAATACATTAAAACCCAAAACCGAAACCTTATTAGATCACTTTAATGGGGTTCAACCGAATTCGATAGCCTATAATTTAACACACAATTATTCACACATACAAGCTCATCTTTAATTAAAAAAATCCTTACACATACTCGTTTGTGGAGCTTTTTAGAGATGCAACGATGTTGATATGCAAGCAAAGCATTAACATCAACATAAAGATCATGTTCTGTCCCATGGATAATTTGAAATGTATAAAGAAAATTGGGGAGGGCTTGTAATGGGGAGTTTGATATAAGTATGAGTGTATATATACACACACAAAATAAAAGCTTCCTGGAAGATAAATGAACAAGGTAATTTATGGTTAAGATTTGGATGGGCTTCTATCTCGAGGGAGTGGTGCTCATCAATCATTATGGACTCTACTTTTCGAAAAAATAAAAATAAAAAAATAAAAATAAAAAGAATTTGCTTGACTACCAAGCCGGAGAAATTATTCCATTGGAGGCAGAGATTCTTCTTTATTATTTATTGAGGAAACTGTGTAAGTTTTTCCACAAATGCAAGCTGCATTATTCTAATAATTCAAAAGAAATAATTAACTTTAGAGACTTTATTGTCTATCAATATCCCATATTTTATAGTAGACGTGGAGATTTTCGTAAGAAGAAAATAAAAGTAGCTTGAAGTGTGCAAAACTTTAGACATAAATCCTAAACAGTTTTATCTTATGCAATATAGCTTGAATTTCCATCTATAGAAGGAAGGTTTTCTGTTTGTTTTTTCCGCGACAGCCAAAAAAAAGGTTTTTATAGTTACTAAAAACAATTGGTTCATGAACGATGAAACAAGGCATATGAGATCTAGTGCTGGATGTTTTATCTTAAGTTATAAGTCTAGAATTAGATTCATTAGTTTTATCTACTTCGTATGTCATTTAGTACGGTTTCAGTCAAACTTTTTGTATTTTTTTCTCTCTTAGTATAAATAAAGTCTCCTTGTGGATGGTGGCTCTATTCGACAAACATTAATTTTGTCTCCTTGATCACTCAATTGTCCAATAGAAGACTTTCAATTTGATTCCAGTTCTATACCAATACAAAGAGAAATTAGAAAGGGAAAACATTATAACGACAAAAATGCAATAAAGCGCATGTTGGCTTAATAAATTTTTACCAAATGAACATGCCAATTTTGTACAATGTGTATATTGTAAAAACACGCGGTTGCTTTAGATATTTGATTAATTTATAAGGATCCAGAATTTCTTGTTTGCACCACATGTTATCAACTAAATGTTATGCCAAAATCTTGGAGAAGACGTGTACGGCTAAGCAATAACACTTTAATTGCACATAACTTTATCTATTTTGACAGTAAAATAAAATTTTATTATCAAACTTTGGACCGCGAAATTCGTATTCATCAAGTTTGAATAGCAACTATTAAGCCAGGTAAATTTTAACAGAAAAATCGTCTCACTTCTAGAAGACGTCACATGTCACGTGAAAAAAAAATTCTACAAGTATGAATAATATATTTAATTTAATAACAAAATTATATAATTAAAATAGTCGGTGAGGTTTTTCTTTAAATTCCTCCATTTACCTCTAAAATTTGATAAGTCAGACAATACTCACCAACCAATTATAGCAGGTTATTACATTTTCTTGGCTTTTTTTTTTTTTTTTATTTGTAAATGATTTTGCACTAATGTATTGTATACATTTGCATTTATAGTTGAGAAAAAATTTAGTTAAAAATTTAGCATTAGTTACACGAAATATAA